AAGTCTGCCTGAAAATGACCAGAAATAATGGAATGAATCTGGCAGCAAGCGTGTGGTCCCATGGCACCTGGTCATGACAATGCCCTGCGTTTGCCTCACAGCATGCTTGAGAATCACTCACAAAAGTGCAATTATACACCCCAGTGCAGCCCTTTATGGCACCCTCACTGCCGACTTATAAAACACCTTGCCTTAACCCTGACACCAGCTCCTGAAATTAAGCAGGAGAGAGAGGGAAACAACCTGGCTTTGGTGTGACAAACACACCCACTGGCACCTTTCTTGTGAAGTGTGCCGATGGAAGTGTTTGCTAGTTCAGGACCAGAGATTGTGAAAGGTGTATAGGAGGTGTGGAGGTTCAGCTACTGTGATCCCCCGCTTGGGAGTTATTGGGGAATAGTGTTTGGTATTAACCACCAAGTGGGTTATTTCCACAGCTGTTTTAATCGATGGCGTAGTGCAGTCGTTCTGTCTTGTGGAATACTGGAATGGTTGAGGCTCATATAATCCTAGGCCTCACTGATTCTCTTATCGATCGCCCTGACACCTCCACATAGTGACACTGAATACCATCATGAACTTCTTCATTTCACTTCATTTGGTATCTTCATCCCTGCACCGGCAATGGTGCTCTTATAATTGCGGCATGCATTTCAGCATGTGACTGGGCGGCAGGATTGTAAACACAACACGTCGGAAGTAATGAAATGTTTATTATACACTCACACAGCTCATAAAAATTGACAGTGGCATGCGTGTGCCATCTCAGCGTAACAACATTCTGGCATCAAAAATCAATTCACTCCAAGTTTCGCCTTAAATTAAATTTCTGCCAAAGTGCTGGACTGAAAAGGTTGGCAACACAGTTTTCTTCACTGCTGATGGTAGGATAGAAATGTTTTACTTACTATTGAAGTAACAGTCGCAGACCAGTCATACGAAATTTGGCTTAATGCTTGTGCTGAATGTTGAAACAAATACAGCGGCACTTGGATTTTTGCACAAGATGGATATGGGTATTCCAGAAATTAGGGGCCCTTTATTTTCGTGTCCCTGTCACATCTGACATGACTCTGTAAGTTCTGAACACGTTTTCCAATTTCCAAGAGTGATGAATCAATGCAAATTATCTACCAAACAAATAGTAATAGTTTAAAATCAATTCCGGTGATATTTCCATGTCAAATAACAAAGGTCAGATGTAACAGGGACACAAAAATGTCGCACTTTTGGACCCTGAATTTCTGAAATTACCCATATATAGTCCTCTAAAAATCACAATTGCCCTGTCATCCAAATGAATTTATCGTAGGTTAGAATCACAAGTAGAATTCTTGAATTGTGAATTTCCAGATGCAATGAGGAAAACTGATAACTTATTTTCAGATTGTGCCGCAGTGTTCAAAATTGTGACAGTTTTACTGATGTTCTGTCCCTACTTTTAATATTTTTTTGTAGGTTTTACATGTCAAAAGAGATTGATTGTGTCACAGGCATCCTTTTTTCCTCGGTGATGTGGCTAACTAACAATACCAATAGCAAAAAGTAACAATATTCAATAATAATATTCTCAATACGTATACATGAATTTTGTGGGTTTTGTGGGAGAGGTTGCAGCCCCAGCAGGTAAGGTTAAGTATCACGCTCCAGAAAGCTGCCTCTATGACTGCAGTATGGTACCTCAAACTTTCAAGGCTGACTCATCTCAACACAGCCTAGTATTGCCACTCTGGTGTGCCTTGACTCATTGTGATTGATTAGGTACATAAGATGGTTACAGTATGCTTACTTAAATCATTTCAGATTGAATTTTTGTGATCTTCTGTGGAACATTATAAAGATCAAGTCCATATGGCAATTGTACACATGGGAAAAAGAAGCCAGTGAATACCTGAGTTGGTATAACTTTCTTTATCCTACATGTTAATACTGTATTGCACAGCAGATGTACTCTGCAGCCATAGATGAGGCAGCTGTCGATGACACTGGTGGCTCGTGCACAAAGCACTTGCCTCTCATCTTTGTGGTCCAGGGTTCAGTCCCCATCTTGGGCCATACGCGAATAGAGTTGTCATTTGTTCCGGTTCTTTATTGTTCTTCAGTTTTCCTTCCTTTGCAAAATCAATACTTGCTCTGTTTGCAGTGTTGGTTGCTTGGAAGCTGCCTGAGGCACCTTTGTATGCCTTGGGCTCAATCACATTGTAGTTTAGTGTCTTTAGTGTACAGTACATTTCAACATAATTGAAATGTGCGCCTTATACACAAATAAATTATTATTACAGAATTTGTACCTTTTATTCAACCAAAAAATGGATCGCTGAAATCGTTCTCCCCTCTTAAGAAGGAAATACAACCTTTTTTCACAAGCTGAACTCTGATTTTGGGAAGAGTAAGTGAGAGGAGATGGACTTGAGTGGGCCTTTAATGAGTATTGACAGCTGTCATTGTATTCAATTAATATTATGCATTTATTCAACACACTTTTCACAGTGATGGTGTTGTTATCTGCACTGTTACTGTTCAACTCTGAATACTTGTGTAAATCTTTTCCTTCTTGTAGGTTCTGTGCAGATATTCCTTCTTGACATGAAGCAGAGAGGTTGCTGGACTAACTTTTGATTGGCATTGCTGTAATATATCCTGTGCCCATGCAAAGGCTTCTGGGTATTCTTCACCTATAGATCATGGGAACTCTGTACCATGTGTACATAAACAAAATATGTGCATGTGATCTGTGCTCACCAAGGGGCATCATTGCCAACCATCAGGACACCTCTGTCATACACACGCACACCTCATGAGTGTCTTTGATTAACTGTTCCATCTGACTGATTAAGTCCGTAACCACTACATGTAGGTGCCAGGGTTCCTGGTACCAGAGACCTTGGGTTTGTACACATAGCAGGGGCGCCCAAAATTGGACAAAAGACCATACTCAAAACAAAAGACCGAGCTGCTGGGAATTGCCAAGATTTTCAGCACAGAGTGCCTGCATTAGCTGAGGTAATTAGTCATTGTTTTGAAACAGTATACAACAGTTTGTGGCATTCAGTGCCCGCAGATTATCAGCGGGGACAAAAGTGCTCCAGCACTCCAGCGATGAGCGATAGAGTATGGCTGCATGCTAATCTGGCCAAATTTGAAAAGACAGCACTGCCATTCAGCAATGCACTGGGCCCATTTTGGGAACAAAGGAAATTACACAACACTGCACAATGTGCCCATAACGGGCGGCAGGCCTGGCTGCAATACTCAGGCGTCACAGGAGGTTGTCTGTTAGATTAAAGTAGCCATCAGACAGTCATTTGTGTGGATGTAAACATCCAGTAAATGAAGTTATGAGTTTGTGAAGAATTTTGAAAACAGAAAATCTTGAAAATCACCCGAAACTCATCCTGCATATGTTATTTCCACCTAGCAGGAACTGCTTAATCTTGATGATGGCAATTTTTCCAAACACAGGATGTGGTATATTGATCACAGTTGGTAACTCTGTTTTCTTCTTGTGGTTGTTGGCGATAGATGGAAAAGGAGGAGACGAGGAACGACATGCGTCATATGCATATGATGCTCAGGAAGTGTACAGTATGTATTTCATGCATCCTGAGCACAGTATGCATATGACGCGTGTCATTCTACGCATCTTCATTTTCCATCTACTGTTCCGTTACTTGTTTGTTTTGTTTTGATTAGAGTAATCTACATTTAGTTGCATTTGTTTGAAAAAAATATTACAATTTATTTTATGTACTGACACTAAGTGTCATTGTGACATTTACCTTTAGCACTACTCAATCAGCCATGGTACATTTACCTTTAACCCAATCAAGTCATTGTCATGTACTTCACTACTGACTCACTCATTACATTTTCCATTGTCATTACTGCACACCACTCTTTGTTGTTCCTGGTGTTTTCCCTGAGGAAGGGAAAGTACCTCCCTGACTTGAAAGGACTGCCCACAATCAGGCAGTGATTGATAATTGCTAATGGGATGTGTGTTTTAGGTCCATGCTTGTGTGGTTGACTAACAGTACTGTAGGAGATGGCAGCTAAGAAATGTATGCACCCTAAACTTCCTTGAACATGTGCCTATTCTGTAAAAACTGATTCGTGGGTATATGCCACAAGTTGAACAAAGAAAAGTTGGCATGGTTATTGTTGGAAAATTAATGTCGGTGTGAATTTATCTTGACATTCAGACTTTCAGGAATTCCCCTGTTGATGCCTCACTCAGTGTCTGAATGAATTGGTTATAACTGAAAATAATACACAGCCATGGAAGTTGCCAGCTAGTGTCCATCTCCCATGGACCCATTCGCTCTTTTCAACTCTGGCTAAGTTTTTGAATGTAGCAGTTTGCCCCAACTTAATCACCCCCATCACCAGCAAAGGAGAGACAGACTGTTGGGAATCATTTTATCTGGGTACCTGGTACACACACACGCACTTACCTTACATACCTGTGTGGACATTCCGTTCTTTTTGTGCAGTTATGAAAACTCAGTGAAAATACTCATTTTTCTTGAACTGTGAACATGATTTTTAGCTGGCTTTTTGTACAAGGTTTCCTTGACTACTCCTCTTCCTTTTACGACAGATAACCCCTACGTCAAAATGCCTCCAACTTATTTTCAGAGAAGGGGAAACGTCCTGTGGACATGTGTAAGTCCATAGAACGTCAGGCTTTCCTGCATCGTGTGGACATCTTTTGTTCACAAGTCCACATTAGGTATGTAAGGTTAGCGCAGCTCGACTGCACATTTCCATGGAAGTTGGTTGTGCAAGTCTCGTACAGAAGCTGCATGAACATGTGCACACATGTGGTGAGGTCCCACTGAAGGACTGCCAAATTGCTGTGTAAAAGTACACCATCCCTTGTTCCACTTGGATTGGCTGAAAACATGGGTTCGAATCCTTGACTCTGCATCGTTGTTTTTGGTTTGGCCATTGTCATGGCACAAATGTGCAAACCAGTAGAAAGGATGGTATTAATGAAGGGCTGAAGAGCTCAGTTGGTAGAGCACTGGACTTGTAGTCCAGAGGTCCTGGGTTCAAGTCCCAGTTCAGCCAAATTTTAGCTGCCATCCAAATATACTTTGATTCACATTCTTTTAGTTTCCTTAGTATTTCAGAAAACAGTGTGTTGTATAGTTATGAACAGTTGGGTTGCATAGTCAAGTTTGTTACTTTTTGTTTGTTAGTTGGCTTTTGAATTTATTCAGGTCTTCATAGATGCTATGGTTTAATTTCAGGCAGAGTGGGCTCACACAGATTCAGACCAGTTAAAAACATTCTTTTGTGATAAATGTCTGTATGCATTGAGTCGGATGATAAATAGACTGTGATGAGAACTACTGTGTGCTGCTTTCTGTTTCATATAGATATGGACAAAGCCTATAGTTAGTGGAAAATTACAGACGATGGTAAATGGTAACTTAAACTAGCCGTACATATAGAATACCAAAGTGAGACTTCATTTTGAACCAGGATTTGTAGTGCAAGCGAATGGAATATGCGCATGCATGTTGGTTCATGCTCTGGTTCCCAGGCTAATGCCTTTTTATGCACACATTATTTTGCATGTGACACATTTACGTAGGTTCTCTATAATGCATATGGGCCATTAAGTGATGAAGAACTTGTGTTTCTGCTAATTGAACTTCAGGTATGTAGCTTTCATATGTATTCTGTGTTCCATTTTAATTTTCTGCACTCTTGGTTTGTGAGGATTAAAAAATATAGAACATATTGCAAATTTTTGCAAAGTGCCCAGGTTGAAAACTGCCTGAGTGGAAACAAGAATTATGCTCTCACAAAATCAGCGTTAGGAGCTCGCTAGATGATCAGGAGCTCACTGGATGATCAGAAGATCACTGGATGATCAGAAGCCCACTTGATGATCAGAAGATCACTGGATGATCAGAAGCTCACTTGATAATCAGAAGATCACTGGATGATCAGAAGCTCACTGGATGATCAGAAGCTCACTTGATGATCAGAAGCTCACTGGACGATCAGAAGATCACTGGATGATCAGAAGATCACTTGATGATCAGAAGATCACTGGATGATCAGAAGATCACTGGACGATCAGAAGATCACTGGATGATCAGAAGATCACTTGATGATCAGAAGATCACTTGATAATCAGAAGATCACTGGATGATCAGAAGCTCGCTGAATGATCAGGAGATCACTGGATGATCAGAAGCTCACTGGATGATCAGAAGATCACTGGATGATCAGAAGATCACTGGATGATCAGAAGCTCACTTGATGATCAGAAGCTCACTGGACGATCAGAAGATCACTGGATGATCAGAAGATCACTTGATGATCAGAAGATCACTGGATGATCAGAAGATCACTGGATAATCAGGAGCTCGCTGAATGATCAGGAGATCACTGGATGATCAGAAGCTCACTGGATGATCAGAAGATCACTGGATGATCAGAAGCTCACTGGATGATCAGGAGCTCAGTGGATGATCAGGAGCTCACTGGATGATCAGGAGCTCACTGGATGATCAGGAGCTAGCTGAATGATCAGGAGATCACTGGATAACCAGGAGCTCGCTGGATAATCAGGAGCTTATGGTGTATTATTTACGACAAACATTTCTCTCTCTCTTTAGCCTCCCTCCAGGCGACGCGACCAGACGACGCGACGGCTCCCTTGCGTCGTGCCGTCAGGTCGCACCTTCACCTTCTTGCCATTACTTTTGTACACACACGATGCGTCGCGTCGTGCCGTCGCCCGTCGCGTCGTGCTACTTTAGGTCCTTTCCATGTTGCATTTTTTGCCGCCTAAACGTCGCCCCCTCCGTCCCATCGAGCTGTCGTGCGTCGCGTCGTGCATCGTGTCGTGTATTGCGTCGCCTGAAGCACGACGCAACGCACGACACGACGCGCGCGTCGTGT